GTAAAAAAAATTTTTTTAAAAAAAAAAAAAAAAAAAAAAAAAAAAAAACTGAACAGAGCTGTAACACTTCTCCAGAGTAGAGTGGAACAGAGCTGTAACAATCTCTCTGGGGAAACCCTCTGCTGCTGGAGCAAAGTTGTTACACTTGCATTAGGGAAACCTTTCCTGGATTACAACACTTTGTTGGGGGAAACCATCTTCCAGTGCAACAGAACTGTAACATTTGTGTTGGGATACCTTTCCCTTCTGAGCTGTAGGTATTCCTTGGCTTCTGACTGCCGGGATACCTTTTCCTTTAGAATTGTAACACTTACAGGTATTCCTTGGCTTCCAACTACCAGGATAGCTTTTCCCTCAGAGCTGTAACACCAAAAGTCCTTTGCCCACATTCTAGGAGCAGGGTCCTTGGAGTTTCCCATCACCCACCCCAACTTCAGCGACTCAGCACCAATGGTCTGGAAATCACTTACAGCTAATTTGACACATTCCACCATCACTGTATTTTCCCTATGCTCATGATCACCCTCTAAAGCTTGTCATCATGGCCTGGTCTGTCCCCATCCCTGCTTAGAAGCAGCCATTTTGTGCCCCCCTCCCAATAAATGTCTTGCAAGAGGTCTGTTACATGGTGTGATTTTTTGTGGTATTCCTTGGCTGTCATTCATTGAGATATAAAACACTTTTGTCACAAAAAGCTTTTATTCTATATCAAAATTTACTCCTAAATTATAAAAGGTGCAACAAATATTTTTCATTAAATGACTAGGACTTTAAAACAAACACATGAGCAGGCTTCCACAAGTCTTACAATGTTTCTTGCGTATGTGTTCTGCCTTTCAGTGTCTAGGAGTAGATGGTATTTTGTGAAAACTGACTGAGTGTGTGACAAGTGCTCCTGTCCTGTGATGTGCTGATAGAGGAGACAGTGTGGGAAATTCTGCTTGAGGTCTGTGAGGTCGAGGAGGGCTTCTGTGGGATGTGTGTATATGGGGGGGGGGAGGCACCTTCCTGTGAACTGACAGCCAGGTGATAAGAGATGCTGTGGTAGTGGGTGGTGAAGAATGTCCCCTCTGAGCAGTAGAGCAGGGATCAGGGTACCTGAAAGGAGGATGGTTTGGAGGTTAGGGAGTGGCAAAGTTTGTTTTCTGACCAAATTCTAGTGAGCCTTTGGATGAGGCAACCAAACTGCTCCCCTCTTCTTGTTGACTTGCCTGGCCTAGTTTTAGCAAGCATCCTGCTAGATCTCTTTTGAAAGAACCTAAGCTTGATGTCTGACCGCCCTGGCCTACCATGAACCTTAGTGCTTCCTAGCCATCACCCCACTTTGTTTGCTGGCTGTAAGTCCTCACTTGTCCTTGAAATATTTAGGGTGGAGCTCAATCATCCCCCACCCCCCACCCGTGTGGTAGTCCTGCATCTAGTGCAAGAACCCTGAATGCTGTGTCAGTAGCTCTAACAAGAACCAAGGCAGGGAGAAGATGAACAGGAGCTGAAAGCAGGGGAAGAAGCCAGGAGACAGAGGGGGCCAGATCAGGCAGAGAGGCTCCCATCTCACATCAAAGATTCCAACCTCTGTTAAAAAAGAAAGGAAAGGCATTGAAGTGTTTTAAACCACACAGCCATCTGATCAGATTTGCATTTTTGAAAGATCATTCGGTCTTTTACAAGGAGTAAAACTGTCTTTAAAACTCTTTACATTATGTAAAGGGACATGAAAGAAAATTGAGCTCACTTAAACAGGCTAATCTGCACCAAGAGGGTGAGGATCTGAGTGGGTTTTGAACCTTAGTCTAGCCACAGTTAGCTGTGAGTGCTCCTACAGTCCAAGATCCTCAACCTCAATGTCCCTGTGACCACTGCAGCTATAGAAGCCTCCTGAGTAATGTGGGTGGAGAGTGGGTATGTGTCTAGGTGGCAGTATGTATAAGTCATTCCAACAATTCCACCTGAGATCACTGTTAACAGGGCAACTGTGTCTGGTTACCGAGAAACTTATGCCTTAGCCTCTGGTTGGAGATATGATGTCTTAGTAAGGGTTTCTACTATTGTGAAGAGATACTATGACCATGGCAACTCTTATAAAGGAAAACATTTAATTGGGTGACTTACAGTTCAGAGGTTCAGTCCATCCATTATCATCATGGTGGAACATGATAATATGCAGGCAGACATGGTGCTGGAAAAGGAGCTGAGAATTCTACACCTTTGATCCACAGGCAACAGGAAGTAAACTGAGACAGTGGGCATGGCTTGAGCATATGTGAGACTTCAAAGCCCACACTCACAGTGGCATACTTCCTCCAACAAGGCGGTACCCACTCCAACAATGCCACACCTCATAATAGTGCCACTGCCTAGGAGTTAATGGGGGGCAATTACATTGAAACTATCACATTTGTGATGTTGTCTTCATGAATGGATGAAGAAAATATTATCTGTATAGAAAAAGAGTTTTATTCAGCCTTAGAGGACAAAATCATGGTTTTTTAGGAAAGGAAAAGGAACCAAAGATCTCTGTGTTAAATGAAATGAGCCAGACTTAGAAAATAAAAAAAAAATCACATTTCTTTCATATGTGAAATCTAGATTATATATATACATATATATATATGTATATATATGCATATGAAAAGTAGAAGGGAGGTTATTGGAGAGGAGTAATGGAATTAAAAGACTATTAACTATTAATGACAGGAGGGAAACACACAGGAGAGGGAAGTAGGAATTAGAGAAGGTCATAAAGGGGGTGACTTATGTTATACACATGTATGAAAATTATTATAATGAAACCTCTTATTCTGAAAAATTAGTATATGCTATAGAAAAAGAATATTATCTCAAAAAACTTCCTTCTTAGCTGCACAAGGGTCCTGAGAGTAGAATTATGGGGTCATGTGGATTTAAGGGTTGTGACAATGGAGGTGAGGGTTAGGGAAGGTAGGGTGAAAATGAAAATGATAGAGGTCAGGATTTTGTCATGGGGATGAGAGTTCTGTCATATGGATGAGGGATTTTATCATGGGGGTGAAGATTGTATCATCGGGGTGAAAGTTGAGGTCATGAGGATGAGTTGAGGTCGTAGGGGTCAGGGTTGGGGAGTCACAACATAGCTATATCACAGGAGCCTTGTGTGCTTTGGGCAGAGTAGGTTCAGGTTAGGATGTAAGACCATCTGTTAAGAGAAATGAAAGGAAAATCAGTCTTAGGTAAAGAAGGGCTAAGTGATCTGCATTGTGAAACTGAGACAGGCTAAGGCTAGGATGAAAAGAGGCAGGCCTGTTTATATGTGAGCCTTTTAACATTTACAATGGACCCTAGCAAGGAGAGGAAACTAGGGTCCTAAGAGAATCAGATGAGAAGTTACATTCAGTCAGTTTACTGTTGTGTGACCAACTGATTGGTGTTCCAGTATGACAGTGCCAGCCCACGACTTAGAAGAGCTTGAAACCATCCCTATGCACCAAGCAGTGATCCATGCTTGTCTGCAGACTCCCACATTCTCACCTGCCTAGCCATCCCTCTGGTTTCAAACTCCTTTTCTTCTGATGTTTGGAACTCTTCTCAGGAAATAAATATTCCAGGTCTTGGCCAAACCATGTTATACTGATTTTAGTTCCATTGATTAACAACAACAACAACAATATAGTTCCTTCCATTTTGTGCAGCAAGATTGCCCTACCCTCTCTGGGTAGGCTTCTGATTCTAACAAGCAGAACAGACACAGTTCTAAGCATGCAAATCAGATTATCATTTGGAAGGAGCCTTTGCCCTGTGATTTGGCTGTGAGTTCCTTGTAGATTTTTTTTCCTCTCATTTTGGTATATGGTATGTTATCTTGTTCCATCACTGTTTGAAAATAGGGCTGGATATTTGACAGGTGGGGTTATGGATGGTGTCTGATGATGCTTTTTGAATGAGTAATAGGACATTTTAAGAAACTGAGCGGGCCATGAGCTTCCGTATTCCATGACTAACTATAATGATAATGACAACAAACAGGACTGGCTGTGCTGTAGGGACAAGCCAATACAGTGTCATCACATTTGAAAAGACAGGTTTCCAATCCATTATAGACGAGCAAGCTGCAATCAAGACCTCAGGGTGTACTCATCGTCTGAGAGGGGCCACTGTTAAAAGCCAGGAACTCACAGTACCACATTCTCTTCCTCCCACCACATTTTCTGTGGGTGGCAATCAGCAGTGAATATGATGGGGCAATTGACCTTTATATAAATGAATGAGCATTACAGGTGAACATGGATTGGGAAGATTTTAGTGATCATTAAGCAGTAGGAATTGTGGCTTGCTATTTGGGTCAGAATAGCTTGATGCCATTAGACTTTTAATTGGAAACATGCAAGTCTTAATTACCTGCTTGTCACTCTTGTTTGCTGTCAGTGAGATTGGTCCTATTTTTAATTTTCTTAGTCCTAAGTTGGGCTCTCTACCTACCCCCTATGGCCGGTTAAATTGTCTGGACTAAATTTAGGGCATTTGGTAGTGGAAAATTATCGTGATCTTGGGGAGAGTGTCACAGACTAGGAGCATAGCTAATTATAACATGGACTTCAGAAATCCATTTCTTTCTGGGGCCAGCGGCCACTTCTGAGCATCTGAAATAGACGTCTCTGGCTGTACAAGCGGTGGAAGATAAAGTTGATTTGGCACAACACAGAGCCAGTATTGTGTTCCTATTTTCTTGCTCCCCAAGTAAAAGAGTTTGTGCTCTCAGGAATCCTATTGCACTTCAAAGAGCCTGGCCACAAGCCCTCTTGTAAATGTTCAACCACACCCCAAGTGCTATGTGAATATCTGGCAGCTAACTCTCAAGGAAGACTAGAGATGGACTGTGACACAGCAAAATCCTAGAAGGAAGACACCATTCAGTATCTGCTGCCACCACCCCTGGCACCACCTCCCCACACCAGACCTATAAACCTCCTCCTCCCTCCCTTCTCTCATCATCCTGCTGCCCATAACACATATCACCACCCCTTGCCTCCCTCGCCCCATGGCTGACTTTGGGATATGATGGGCCAAGTAAGGACTTCCTTACCCAGTGTCCCTCAAACTAATATATGTTAAAATGCAATTTTGAGAAAGTCCCTTTTAAGCTTCAGACGACTGAACAACAAACACAACAGCATGCTACCGGCATTCATCATCAGAGTTAACTGTTACTAAGTACCTGCAGGAAACATTTTGCAGACAACCAAATCTCAATCCTTTCCCTAGGAGGTATTTGCTACCATCCCTATTTTTGAAATGAGGACACTAAGTTGGTTTGCAGAAGGCCACAAGGACAGTAAGTAGCTGAGTCTTGGCAGACCAGTTCCAAATCCTGTACTTGTGAAGATTTCTTCGTATGGCAAATTCATTTATAAACTAGAGTATACAGGAAGCAGCCTTCATAGAAAATAGGACAGAGAATGTTATCAGCTGTGGTAGAATAAGAAGTCTGGGCATGAGTTAGTGAGAGAATGGGCAGGAGGTC